TTTCCCTCTCTCGGTTACGCCATATCCAAGTGTGTAATATTGTTAGCCGGATCTCTGTATCTAGCGGACGAAATAAAAAGTCAAATTTCCACGATTCTTTCGAAATCCCATCGCTCGCGTTTTATTCTCACCGGAAAAGAGTGTATCAGGCACCGCTCATTGTTCCCGAAATTAATGCCGGAAACCACAACTCTGCCTCTACAAACGGCGCTGTAGCGCGCGCACACGCTTTGATAACACGAGATGCATGGAAATAGGGAAACGGAATGGAAATAATTCGCCAGGCTGTTGAGGCAGCTGGGATTAGTGTAAGCCGTTAGAGGTACGTCCTTGCGCCTCGAGCGTGCGTGTAGCAACGTTTCTTCTCTCTGAGAACGTTTGAGGATAAGGGAAAGAAAGAGAGAGGCAAGTGTAAAATGTACAGAAATGTTCTAGAGAAAGGTAGATAAAGAAGGCGAACTAAAGTAAAACAGAGAGAAAGATGCCGGAACAGAGAGAAGGATGACGGAAGTGAGCAAACATATTCCTCCGAACGAGCATCGTTAGCGCGAGATTCAGCTTTCGAATCTTTTCACGTTTGATATGAATTTCTCTCCTCTTTTCTCTATTTCTTTCTTTTTCTCTTTTTTCGGCGGAGCATTAACGCGCGTTTTTCGTTTAGCGGATCCCCGACTGAAAAGACCCGCACGACGGCAACCAACGAGATGGAGCCGCGTTCGAAACGGGGAAGTCAAACGAGAAAACTTCGCGGATTAAGCGCAATCAAGTACCGATAATTCTCTGGTGAATCGTGTCTCCCGCTCTCTCCCTGCCATCCGTCCGATCATAGGACGGCAGGGGGACGGATGGGTTAGAGGGACCCTCGCGTGTCCCAGCTCGAAGGAAAACCGAATTGTTCGAATTGGATGCCGTCGTGTTCGCGGCAGTGCTATCTCTTACGCCGACATCGGTGCTCTCGCGAAGGCACCCGTGGGCGTTATCTACCGAATTAATCGGAAAGTTTCTCGCCACAGCCCTTTAACTATATAACATTAATTTTAATATCAATTCGACACGTCTCGTGGTTTATTCTCTTGATGGCATTCGCGGTTTCCAAGTGCTCACTGATGCGGATTAAAGCAGCGCGATGTTTCGCGTAAGTTAGAGAATGAGCTATAAATTGCGCCATTTGACGATAATCGAGATTTCATTATAATTCGAGAATCAAAAGACTTCATTGATTAAAATATAATGCCAATTTTTTAAATTAATTATTAATGTAATTGAATTTTTTTAGCGCACTTTTTTCACGTAAAAATCGATATGCACAATGATAGTCTTTATTTAAAAAGAAGAAGCTTAAACTGTACGAACCAAATTTATACTTTAATCAATTCTTAAAAAAATAGTTTTCAATTAAATTTTTTATATGTGACATTTATAATCAAAAATCAATAATATGAAAAATAATATATCTCTTCCTGTCATTCTAGATACATACCCTATCTTATATCTCCTTCTCAATACATCGGCGCGAGCAATGTAAAAGCCAATCTTATAAAATAAATATAGTTTGCAAATTAGTATATATTCGATACACAGTAATTAGAATTTAATATTATGAATATACAATCTGTGTACGCAACGTACACCTTAAAGAATATGTTTGCATCGGTAACTAGTTAATTAAATTAAACTATACCGTTATGCATACAAATGGGATTCCACTATATCATGCAACCAAAGTGCAATACATCTAGTGTATGTGTGTGTGTATTACGGGTACGCGCGTGCATGCATGTATACATATACAAATTGCGATTCTCATATAATTAATCTAACTTCGATGTATAATAATGCATTATATAAAAAACGAAAGCAAACAGAAATTTATATATAGAAAACACAATTGAGTCTTTTAATATATTATTCATATCTATTTAAAATTCTTTACAACTTACTTTTGGCACTATTCAAAATATTTGATAAATACAAAGAAACTCCATAAGAATACATATATTCCAAATGTGTACGTTGTCACATGTATTTTTATGAACAGAAAAATTTTATCACAAATGCGGAGTATAGCAAGAATCGCTGCATTACTTTATTCTGTATATATGTGACTCAAAATGAGATATAATATTTCATACTGAATATTTTTAGTATTCATGTAAATGCGTTTTGACATTATAAACATTGAAATGCGCATAGAATACACATACGTATAATAATTCATTAACGTTTCCAGAGTTTTATATTACATATTATATTCGTATTATGATTTCATTATCATAATCTTATTATCATCATTTGTCAAAATCTTTTATTATATATATATATTAAGATATAATTTTAATTACAAAAAAAATGTCAATTTCATCATTACAATAAATATTTCTGATTTTTACAATATTAAATAATAAAATAAATATATGTGTGAATGATAAGAGCGATACATGGATCGCTAACTAAGAAGACTAAAATTAATTAAAAAACATCAAAAGGATCTCTTCTATTTTCGAAGATCGACAATGCAACAACGGTGCAAATTTTGCCGTACAGCGAATCCTGTAAACTATACGATAATGAGACTAATAATTCGTGCGCGGAAGCTTCTCACGTTCCATGTAATTCACTACTCTGAGTACAAATGGCTCGTAACACCCGTGCCGTTAATGTTAATATACAACATAGAGACGCACATATGGAGCATCAGATTTCTAATTCTACTAAATCTTACGCGGGGCGTGCCTGCTTAGATTGCACCCGTGAAATACCGGCAAATGGACTCTGTAATTCTTTAAAGAACAACCCGTACGTGAACGCGAACAAAAGTCAGCCGCAAATTTCTACTCATTCGACGTATCCATGAACGGATATTTTAAAATACAGAGCAGTATCTTTTAAAATATAAAATTAGATATCATGAAAAAGCGATCAATAGAAACGATATGAAGTGAACGTCTAATTATAGAATATAAGATAATTTATATATGAGATTAGAAAAATCTACTGAGAATGTACTTTTCATGAAATATTCTTTGCAAATAAAAATGTTCGAATTTTTTCACACTTATTTAACAATTAAAAAGATATAATATCTGCAAATAAAATAATTTCCTAAAATGTTTAAAATAAATTTTATATACCAAAAAGATATATATTTTTATATAATCTCGTTTCCAAGACGCTAATTTATTTGAATATATAAGAAGTTTCAATATCGAATAGAAAAAATGTTGCCATGCATATCTTGGAAACATTTCTTCGTCTCCTTTATCTAATATTGCAAGCACGTGTCATTGTTTTCACATAGGACCATGCTTAAGAACAATATATCAAGAAACTATATAGGAAATTGTATAGACGTAGAGATTCAAGACAGCGATAAAACTGTATCAAGGTAGAAGACACGAAGCCTCGGTACAATTCTGTTGCACAAACTGGCGGCTGACGGCTCCGAAAGGACGAAGTTATCTCACGAATTCCTGCTCCGTAATCTGGCATTTATACACGTGTATGTTGCATACAGTTCGCCGGGTCTTCAAACGCAAAGTACGAAATTCTCGAAGTGCCCATGATTACGCGTATGAACGTAAATATCTTTTGCCAATTGTGTAGCTTTGATAAATGAATCTACACGAAATTGGATAAAGAATCTCACGAAATTTAATTAAACACATTCCACATTCTGGAATATATTTAAAAGAATAAAAGACAGTGAATTTTTAAAATAATTTTTAAAACAAGATATATTATTGTCACAATATTTTTAAATTCAATTTAATATAAACTACATATTTACATAATAAATTCTTACATAAACTCCGCGCACCAACGCACGTTACCTACAATATTGTCTCTAAGTTACGATAAATTGCAAGTTTTACCACGCTCTGTTACATTATATTACTTTTTTATTACTACATTTAATATAATGAATAGTAAATTTAAGAGATAATACGTTTTATATTATATTTTATAAGAGCATGGATTAAGGGACCAAAAGTTTCTTTAGTTTGAAATCGAAACGTCTGAGACATTTCACGGCAATTCCACGCGCTGTCGTATTTCCATGAAGCGTGTCACTTAACGGCGAGAGCGCCTTAAAGTTTTAAGACGGTAACAAGTCGACGGAGGAAATTAAAGCACTTTTCAGGGAGTCTACCACACGGTTCGCGTAGAAGTAGCTAACGAAACAAATGGTTAATGAATTATTGAAAGAGCCGTCTGTGTGAG